GTGGTCACTAATGGAAACAGAAAAAAGCAGAGATGATTGTTTTAATGTTAAAACTGTTCATTCAGATGAATAAACCAAATGTGTACATGTAATGTTTGTAAACTACAGGAAATAAACCCAGCAGCGTAGTGCAGTATCCCTCAGAGAAAACTGTGCTAATTATTTATAGTAGAGCAGTTTAATCATTTTAGAAAAAGACCGGTGGGACTATTTTAAATATTTTGTGGAATTGGATCAGATAACATACAATACAAATTGTACTGGCCATTTTTTTTCTTCTAACAATGAAAAGTGTGCATTTATTTTTAGGTCTACTTATAAATGCTTGTGGAAGGGTGTGTCTGAAAGAGCAGGAAGTTGTTCTCAGCAAGCAAGTGCATAAATCAAAGCAGACGCCCTGTTTTGTCATGCGTATGCGTAAGTAAAAAATAATCTACCAGCAATATAATAAACATGCTTTGTGGCTTTACAACAGTTTGATTATGTGGTGAGCAATACATTGTTAACCGACTGCTGCTGCTCTGAAAAGAGGACTGACACACCTGCAGAGTTTTTCATTCATAACATAAAAAACTTAATGCTGTATTTGTCATCTAACCATGGAGGCTAAGCTGTCTTTTGAAGTCGGTGGTTACAAGGCACTGATCCTAGGTTATTATGTCAGTTTATAATGATTCAAAACACTTATCCACAAATAAATAAAAATGGTTAACAGCGTACAAAAAGCAACAAGTTAAACTTCCCTCTATTCTCACATACATAGACTCACCTGCAGCCCTCAGTTTAATCTGTGATCTACTCGACAACCTCTCAACTCGTGTTGAAACATATTCTTGGAATGCAACTGGATGATGCAGAAAACATCTGCAACATTAACACTAGATGAAAGTATTTATACGTTCAGCTTCACTCAACTTAAATGTTCAATTTTTATATGATTGGGATAAAATAGATCTTTTGGTGATGGATTCTGTTTCTGTCAGTTTGCCATGCAGTCTGCTCTCTACTTTAAAAAAAAATTACTGTTTATCAAGGTAGCAATAAGAAGTCGTGCTCTACAAGTTGCATGTTGTAAACAGTGTTTACCATCAGTGTTTATGAACAACTGTTGACAACTTAGTTTATTCTCTGTTGAATTAGAACTTTTTCTAAGCTGCATTATTTTTCTCCCTTTTCCTCCAGTGCCATTATTTCCTGTTTCATTCTGTTTGATTGTAATTATTTTATAGACTTCATATTTTAACTCAACATATGTATATAGAATAGTTTTAAAACATATTTAGACACAAAACACTGAAACTTTTTGAAGAAGTATGATGACACTGCTGGTGAAATGTCTTTTTTTTTAATTTAGCCTACAATTTTTTATTTTTTTTTTAAATGTACACAAAATAACAAGGGAGTTATAGAACGATTACGTCATTATTTGCACCCTTTTTCATCGGATGAATATCAGAATCCATTAAGAAAATTACAACAAATAACTAACCCAGTCAAATTTCACGTCGGCAACGGGCCACAGTGAAGTTTGAAAGAGGGGAACAAAGTTTTTTTTGTGTTGTTTTTTTTTTTTTCCACCGCTCGCTCATGGTTCACTGCCACTAGATGGCGCATCTGACCTGTGCCATGCACCCGAGTGAGTCAAAGTATCCTGTTAGACAGACCGGGTCAACCCAACATTTAAAACCCCACTCTCCTGAGTATTAGGTCAATGCAGGAAACACTGACAACCATCACCAAACTAGTTATTAATTGAGGCTGCAGGCTTTCGGATTGTCAAAAAAAAAGAAAAAAAAGAGGATCTTTTATTCGGTGTGACTCGCCTGCTGACTGCATGGTGGAGGACAGGGTCAAAACTGTGAAAAAAAACCCAAATTCTCAGTTCTGTGTTTCTATTGGGTATATAACCCAATAGAAACACAGAACTGCTGCAAGTTCAGGCCGTAATGAACAGACACTCTCTCGTGCAGGTGCGCAGATGATTTTATGACAGCAGGTAGTTGGTTATAGGTCTTCAAATCTATTGTTTCCTTGATTTATTGTTATAGCCTATAATATCATAATTAGTCACCTACACTGAAAAAATATGTGGCAACGTGTTAGAGCAGGTGTTGTAACAAAATGACAATGGATGCGCGTGTTGCATTTTGTTCTTAACTGAATGGTACCATTGAGTTTCTTCTTCTTTGTCTTCTTATTCATATTTTATAAACTTCTATCAGTGAAATCCATATGCCTCATTATCTGGGATCTGACCATTAAGCGCAGTCGCACTGATTTTAATGCAGATGTGTTTCCGTGATTTTATTTTATTTTACCTGAACGGAACAGACACACGACTCGTTTCTTCATTTAGCTTTGAACTGCAGCACATGAGGATCATTTACAGTAGCTGTGTGACCGCGTCAGACTGTCTCCATCACTGCAGTTCTCACCCAGGATTTGTCCTTTTGCTTTTGTTTGGCTGTGCGGTTAATAAACCGGGCGCTGTAACCGCTTGGGGGCGTCGTATCTCGGTCCGATTACAGACGCATTGTCGCCTTCCGTGCAATAAAACGGAAGATATGAACCATCGAAGGCGCCAGGTGAGCAATAAGACAGAGCAATTGAGACAGCATGTGTCATGTTTACACCTACTCCCCAGCGCCAGGCCGGCTACACATTAACCAGACAATATACAAATAAAGATATGGTGTTGATAAACTCATGACTCGAGGTGCAATAGAAAGGGTAATCAAGGGATGACATAGCCTTTCCAGATTTCTCTCTGGCGGCGGAGACGCACGCACCTCTTCAGTGGACGATGAAGGCCCGTCCGTGGGGTCAGATTTCGAAAACGTGATGCACGAGGGGAATTGTCACGTTTGGTGACTCCAACTTACTATTTGGAAAAAAAAATAAAAATCACACAAAATAAAATAAATAAAAAATATTGTCCATATTACCTCCATATGTAGTTTTTTTTTTAAATATATATAACTTCCAAGTAAATTTCAGGATTTTTAATCTTTTCTATCTCTATCTTATTATATGGGATGTATCTTACCTTGCAACTGACGCCAATGGGACCAATAAATGATTTGAAAAAACAAACAAAAAAAGAACCACTCAGTTATAACTATAGCGCGTGGGCTCTTGTCCAGGTAGGAATCCCAGGTATAGGTCTCTGGGGGTGGAGAGGGCCTTTGGGGTCTTTCACTCTCTGAACACAGCGTGGACACGTAGTTTACTGAGGTGGAGTACAGGTCTAAGTGGGCAAAGAGACGTCTCTCACCTCCAGGCAAACAGGAACTGTGGCCAACACTGGCCAGAGGTTTTTTTTTATTTTTTTTTTTTACAAGATGTAAGGTTAGCCTCGTTCAGTGTCAGCCTTAAATCAGCTCATTTAATATGGTAAAAGTGACAGATTCTGTCGTCAGAATTAGCTCCCATCTATAACGGGGATCAAGCGAGGGACACACACTAAGAAAGGGCATTTCAATATTTTATTGAAACTTTCAAGAACACGATGTTGATGTTGTAAACTAGACATAACTCCAATACAACATAACCCACTGACAACTTAAGAAACACAAAAGAAACCTTCATATTTTTCGATTATGCGGCACTTTTATGATCAGGTTCGCAACATAGGCCTATTTTTTTTTTATTAACACCAGAAAAATAGTCCACTTTTGTCACACTTCAACGACACCTCTTTTTGCTCTTCTTAAAAATTAAAAAAAAATTAAAAAAAAAAAGAAAAGAGAAAAAGAATATCTTTTTCAAGCCATTGGTGCAGTGCGTTGTCGCTTTTTCATTCGTTTTAAACAGTAGCACTTCACACACGGGGACAACAAGTGAAAATACAATGGCACATGAGTGTGAATAACTATCGGTGGATATTTGGGGAGGAATAAAGTCCATATTTTAAGAAGGGGGGGGGGGGTATAAATGCAGATGGCAACAAAAGGATAATAGCCCACAAACTATCTTTACACAGGTATATCGACAATAAATTAAGAACAGATCCCTAGAAACAAACTACTCCGTTGTATTTACACGCAATAACAATATGAAATAATTACATAAATATTTTATATATCCCTATGTACACCTATAATCAATACTACCTTTCTTTTTTTTTTTTAGTATTTACTTGAAATTTCTGCTTCCCTTTGCCTGTTGGACATTTGGGCTAAATTGCGCATGCTTGGGCCATGGATCTGTCCCAGAGCACCAGTCCTACTCTGATTTTAAAATGGCATGAAGACAAACAAATTTTGTTTTTTTAAAAAAAAAAAAAAAAAAAAAATTAAAAAGATAAGCTAATTAAAGGGAGTGTGTTAATTATACTCAAAACAAGATTATTTTCCACACTTTAAGTTTCAATTTTTAGTGTTTAAAATAACATTCGTTGGGGTTTTAGGGGGGCATGCAACATTTGGCCGATCTATCAATTGATAGTGTAGAACAAAAAAATACAGCAGTCTTTTTTTTTTTTTTCTTTTTAAAGGTAGATTAAACGGTAGTGAATTCAAATAAGTCAAATCAATTCAGAGTGCATATTAAAACACATTTCTCCTCGTGTACAATAAAGTTAGGAGACAGGACACAGCAGCAACTTCTCCTAAATCTGTAAGTCACACCCATGCCAACGTTTTCAGTTTCAATACTTGTACGGTATTCAAATGACAGGATAAAAGTGTTGTTTAATTTAACAAAAAAAGAGAGAGGAAAAAATAAAGAAAAACATATACATATCAGATGTGTATTAACCAAAGTGCATTTCAGAAACTAAAACGTCCAACAGTTCATGTTTTTTTTTTTTTTGTAGTTTTTTTTTCTTTTTAAAACCTGCATGAATCTACAAGAGTATCTCCCTACTGTTAATGTCTTCCTCAACACTTCACTTTTCATGACAACAACGAAACGAGAAGCAGGTGGTGTGTTTTTTAAGAAAAAAAAAAAAAAAAAAAAAAAAAACTAAAAAAAAAAAAAAAAAAAAAAAAAAACAACTCCTAGGGGGACCCGCTCCGTGGCCTGTCCTGATTTGAGTCCAGTCCACTGACCAGGCGCTGGATGCTCTGCAGCTCGTTGGCGGCGTCCTTCTCCGTGCAAGTTTTTGGGGACATGGAAACCGAGCCGGAGGATATGGTGGACGAGTGGCTGGTCACCTCCGATGTGGAATCCAGGGTGACAGCAGACACTGGGCTGGCTGGGACAATGCCGTCCCCTTTCAGCTCGCTCCCGCTGCCGGCCATGGAGGGCATGGCGGTGGTGAGCAGGGTGCTGTCCGGTACCGTCATGGGGAGGGAGTAAGGGCTGTACCTGAGTCGGGGGCGCACTGCGTTCAGGAAGGGGTGTCGGTGCACCGACGAGGAAGCGGCGGATGAGGCCGCCGCGGCTGCTGCCATGTACGTGTAGGGATAGGGGAACAAACCGCCAAACGGAGACATGGCGATGCCCTGTGGAGAAATGGAGAAGCTGAGTGTGAGCCACAGGACTGGCGTTATAGACACCTAATGCTATCACACAGCTGCAGACACTTCGGTGTGCTATTAAAAACGCGCAGGAAAGGGAGAAATAGAGCGGTTATGCATGGTGATGAACAGTTCTACCAAACCCCTGCATGGTGGAGCAAATGCGTGAAAAGCCTCAAAATGCTTCAGGCATTCCTTGTGCTTTACTTTCACTGTCCTCAGTAAAGATTTTTGTCATACATAATAGGGTTAGTAATGCATCGTTACAAAGCTAAAGGCACTGTCTGACACTTGGGCAATACAGTCTCAGTCTGTCGTTTCTTCAAATGCTTCTATTCACACAGGTTTTTAATCCCCCCCCCCCCCCCCCCCCACCACTAATCTGGTCCTAACAAAATATTCTGCAGCAAAACTTTACCACCCGGCATGTAAACAGCTTTGGTGCTTGTTCAAGAATTTGCAATGCAAATAAAAATTCCTAATATGCTGTAATCAAACAAGAGACGCTGCAGCTGTAACACTTGTTTTTACAATAAATGGAAAAAGACAAATTTGTTGTCTATTAAAACATAATGTTGTTTCCCTCTCTGAGCCAATGAGGCATTTTAATACTCGCCATTGTGGCTCTGAAACGCACTTAATGAGCTCAAATCAAAAAGGCTGCCTGACACCTCGAGCTGTTTGCAAGGTGGTCTCTGTCTGTCTGTCTGTTTTCCTTAACGAGTGTTCGTCAGGCTAATATCTGTAACAACAATGCCAGGGTGGAAGAGAAAGGTAACATAACGCGTTCTCTAATAGCTTAGTCAGCCAAAAATGTTGCTGTCCAACTTCACTCTGAATGCTGGCCCATTTGGCAGTAACACAAAATAAACAAACGCACACTCTCTCTTTCTTTCTCACACTTATGTTTAAAAAACACAAATAAAGGAGATGGGGGAGACAAAGGCATTTCTACATCAGACATAGACCTACTAAATCTGGCATATAGGCCTCCACAGTCTATAGTCTGCTCAATAAACCCAACGTGCTCTACGCAAAGCTGCGTGTAGGCCTAAGCCCAAGAAAACAGGTTTTACCTGTGATGCCAAGACATGTTGCTGCAGATGAAAGGGCAGGCCTGGTGCTCCCGTCAAGCTTTGCGGTGATGATGCCATGCTAGTTGTGTCCATGGTGTTCACCCCTCCCGTGGACACAGCTGCCAATAGGGGTCCCATGCCCGCGGCCATGTTTGAGAATGCACCTCCCATGTTAAACTGACTGGGGTGCAAGAGAAACGGATGCGCGCTCCCTAAGTGATTGAAAAACTGTTGTCCTGTTAGACCTGTTGGAAATCCAAAATTATGCAAGTGGCTGTGGCCTATGTGCGCGCTGTCAGTCTGAACAGTCAAAGGCATGAAACTGTCCTTGCTTATTGACCTGCACTCGTCCGTTTTGGGCTGGTCCAGGCTCGGGCTCTTGACGTCTTCTCCAGAGCGGGTGGTGCTGGAGATGACGGTGATTGGGCTCTGCCGCGAGTCTGCCTGGCTTTTCTCAGTCCTAGGGCCGCTGTCGCGGATCCTGCTGGTAGAGTCACTGTTACTGAAGGGATGCCCCTTAGCTGGGCTCGCCTCATGATCCTTCCCGTCCTCCGTGGTCGTGGAAATCTTGCTGGAGTCCGGACCATCTTTGATGTGTCCATCTTTGCTCTCATCGTCGCTGTCCTCATCGCTGTCGCAGAAATCTGCACAAGTAGGAGGAGGAGGAGAATATCAGTTGTCTTTCTGCACATTGGTGAATCATGAAAACAATAACTCCCATTATCAGCCATGTTGCAGTTGACTCCCAAAGGTGGAAGAAGAAATAGACCTGCAGGGCGCTTTTTGGTGACTGGTATGAACTGGGTCAAATAAAATAAAACGTCCAGCCTATAACGTTTATTTCCCATTGTTTCCAGTTCTACTTGGGAGCATACACATTAAGACATGGCAGTAGTTTTTTTTTTTTTTTTTAAATGCATTTTTATGTAGGATTTTTCCCTAAAATGAATTGAAGCAGACTGATATTCAGCTGATCGTGTCATCACTAGGCATATTCATTTTCCATGATGTTTTATTTAATGTCCATAAGACAGTCAATGCAAATGACTGCTCTATCAATTTCCCCCACTGTGCATGGACTGAAGAAGAGTGATCAGCTAATATTAAAAGCTGTTCATTGGCTGTAACTACTTTACATTCATAAACGTTCCTTTCATTCTGCACATTACACATAGGCTGCCTCGTAAAAATACTTGCCACAATAGAAATTTTACGACCTCTACACACACACACACGGCTTGTGTGACTGACTGTGGGGTCCGTCAGCCTACCTTTCAGGTGTGGGGGGCCCACGGTAGACACGGCAGGGGACGAGGCCTGGCCGAAGCACTTAAAGGAAGCCTGCTCTCCAGAGGAGTCGTCTGAAGCCCCGTTCTCCTTTTTCTGCTGCTCCTCGTATGAACGCATGGATTGCAGAGCCAGCTGTTTCCTGTGCGGGAGTACTCAGGTTATTATAGGTGGTGGCCACAGCTCTCGGGTCAGAAAACAATATCTAGCTACAGCTAGGGATGAATGGTGCGGAAGCTTATTTAGGCTGGAGAGCTGAAACGGTGAAGCCCCTGACTGCAGGACTGACTCACCTATGCGGCGGGTGAGGATATGAAATCCATTACAGTGCCATTGCTTTAGCAGGCCCATATATCTGTATCTATCTTGGCATGTCACACTATCCATTTACCAAGCGTAATGACATTTAAAAAAAAAAAAAAAAAAAAAAAAGTTAAGATTCTGGCAAAATGTGTAATTTAAATTACTGATCATAAAGTCGAATGAAAGCTGTTTCATATACCATAAGTACTAGGCTATTACAGTGAACTCCAGCCTATTACAGTATTTGATTAGAAACTGATTAGATCCAGGCTCCCTGCTGGTTAATCCACCATGATCACTCTCTATCCGCATTCAAAACCCTCAAGACATCTGAAGTTCATTTATTAAAATTATTATTATTAATATTATTATTATTATTATTATTATTATTATTGTTATTTGCAATGCACTTTCCCCTCCATCTCACCTCTTTTCCCGTCTCCCATTGCCCGTGTCACGGAATCCTTTGGCAAATGGATTATGGTCAATTTTCAGCTGGGTTATCTGAAAAGAAAATTACAATGCAAATATTAACAAATGAAATTTCACTTTCCTGTAGAGTTCTCATTCAGTGTGTCTTTTTGTTGCAGTTACAGGTAAAGCCCCAGAGTTGGGACTAGTTTCTGCAAGTTTCCACTACATCAGTATCACTGTCTCAACAGGCTAAGGCTACAGCAGTAACATGGTTTAACATATAAAGAACACAGAAACACAGAGAGCACACGAGGCCTCGTTTTGGCACGTTTTTTTTTCCATGAGAGTGAAATATGCTGCGTTTTCTTTCTTTTCTTTTTTCTTTTTCGGATAAACGTTACTCCCACACCACTTCCTCTCCGGCAGTCTTACCACTGCACAAGGGAGGAGGGGGGTGGTGGTGGTGGTGGTGGTGGTGGTGGTGCCATCGTTTCCCAACGATATCAAAGAGCTGAGAAGATGATTTTCATTATTTTTATGTCTTACAGAGAATAAAATGTTACCATGCAGCGCAGTCTGACACACCCCCCCTCCTTTTTTTTTTCTTTTTCTCCACTCAACCGCACAATGTTGCCCCTCTTCTTTTTCTCATTTCTCAACCTCTAACCCTTTTAGCTTTACACACACACACACACACACACACACACACACACACACACACACACACGTGCACACACACACAGAGAAAGAGAGAGAGTAAGGGAGAGCGAGAGTCTGGATCTGTGCCAAATCCTTTCCACGTGATTAAATATAACCTGTATAACATTCCTCAGAATTATTAATTTCATACCACAGGCTGGTGAATATGGCACCCACTCGCCACATCCCCCCCACCCAACCCACCCACCCAACCAACCCCCCCCACCAAACACACACACACTCACACACACTATGATACACCACTCACACAGGCTCAAACAAATATGACATCTTTCATATTTTATAACAACAAAATGGCGCAGAGCATGAAAGGCAGAGAGGGGAGAAGGGTCTGACAGGGCAATCGGCACAACAAGCTGTAATTTTTTTTTTTTTTTTTTTTTAAAGAAAGTAGGGGACATGTATCGTTAAGCCTGTGGGCATGTAATTGTCCTTACCTTGTCATTTTGATAAGCGGTCACGGCAATGAAATCCGTTTCAGGAAAAACATAAGTCCTGAAGGTGCTGTACGGGAGTTTGAGAATGTCGTTGGCCCTCACAATGTGAAATCGAGGCTGATATTTGTGCATCGAGTTAAGAATGGTCTGCAACACACAACCACAAAAGAAGAAGAAGGGGAAAAAATATTAGCGCAATATTTATGTTACAGTGAGTGTTGTGTGATCGTTAGAGAATACACCCGTACATTAGGCATTTTCTTAAAATGTTAACTTGAATTGTTAATCACAAGGCAAATCATAGGAGGAATTAAATGTAATAAATAATTCTGTATTTAAAAAATGTAATTTTAAAAATCCTGTGGAGGATTTATTTCTTATTTTTTTGGATCAGTTTAACAAAACGTTTACACTCTAAGGCTGGATCTAGGGAAGTCTAATATAGCTTAATATATTCAATTCTAAAAAAAATAAATACAAAATCTCAGGAAAGACCAATGAAATGTTTAATTTTTAAATACTTTTTAAAATACTCTATCTTGATCAGGTCTTCCTTAAAAAAAATCTTAATAATAAATCTTTAATCTCATGGGACTTCCTATGCTTAAATAAAATAAATTGCACATAAAATCACATCCAAAATGATTAACACGTGTGTGTATTAAAAAGTTGATAAATAGGAAAATTGACATACATGAGTTGAACTTACAAATCCATGCTTGTCGGAGATGTTGTTTGTCAGCTTGAGTTTGTGAAAATTGACGACTTTTGACATCCACTGTTCACCAGTAGCCGGACTGTCCGGGTGAATGTACATCCTCTTTGGCATTTCGGGGTCGGCCTTCCCTGCCACCATCCAGCGGGAGTTATGAAATTTGTACCTGCAGTCGTCGGCTGCAACTATATCCATCAAGAGAATGTATTTGGCCTTCTTGTCCAGACCAGTGCACCTCACTTTGAACGGGGGGAACATCCGCCTGTGACGGAGGAAAACAAACGATGAGCACTGGTGCTGGTGGCCAACACAACTATTATTCAACAAAAAAAATGTGTAACATTTTTAGACAGGCATGAATATATATTTTTCGTCTTAAATCGTGCTGTATCCGTTTTGATAAGTTCACTGATGCAGCCAATAGCCTGCTCTTCATTTATCTGCTGAAGATAAGTCAGCCGAAGAAGTGTGTATGAAGAATTTGAGTAAACTCTATAGAAATGTCTTCCTCCTCTGCTGCATCCTCAATTAGGATATAAGACAACATGTTATGGCTATATGCATGGTGTCTTGATATTTAATGCCTTGAAGGCCTACTCTCTCTCTCTCACAAACAAACACACACACACACACACACACACAGACACACACACACACACAGACACACACACACACACAGCAGCCATCTTTGTATACTGTCACTGTGGTGATGACGAAAATAATTTAGTCACAGCTCCACACTCTCTGATGGATTAACCCGCCAAACGTAAAGTTCTGACAAAACCGGGCAGGAAAATTAACAAACAAAGCCTCAGCAAGACACATTTGTATATCTGGGAATTTGCATAGAGATCCACGAAGGTGCTGCTGTAATTTGAGGCTTCATATTAACAACACAGCAGCTACAAATCTAATCCGTTCAAAAAAAAAAAAAAATCTATTTTACAAAATAGGAGACCTAACGACTGCTTTCCCATCATTACAGACCGTGTTTGTGCTCTGACTTTGCAGCCCTGTCTGAACACACAGGAACTCCCAGCTCTAATCTCATTTCTTTTCTTTTTTTTCTATCAAGCTACAAATATATGTCTGGACTACAGACAATTTTTAGGACATGTTTTTTATGTTGCAGTGCAGGCATATCATCGTGCAATAAAATTCACACATGCGTAACAGTTGTTGGACAATTATGCTGCAGTGGAAGTTCAACTCATTCAAATTAAACTAAGAGCAAGGCTCGAGAGCGTTACAGGAAATAAAGATGTTATCCAGATGAACTACAGCGATACAGCTATGTCCAAGTGGCGTGTGTGTAAATAAATGACTATGTATCTATCCATATGAACAACAGGCTTCTCCTTATTGGATGAAATATTATATTTTTGTGATGAACACACAACAAAAATCTATTTCACCTTCCGGATTTTGTGATCACCATCTCGGTGCCTCTCTTGTGGAAGAGTTCCCAAAGCTCCTTGGCTTCCAGGTGAACTTTAGGGTCGTCCTCCACCTCCTCCTCAGGCTCCAGAGTCTTGAGAGGCCTGAGGTGGGCGGCCGCAGCTTGATGCCCCAGCGAGGAGAAGTGGAGGCCGGTCTCCGCGGCTCCCATTAGCTGGTCCATGATCGGCTTTCCCAGGGCGCCCGGCAGAGAGAGGGAGCCGCTGGGAGGGAGAGCCAGGGCCGGGAAGAAAGGAGGCTGGTGACCCAGCATTGCACTCATGGCAAATTCCGGACCCCGGTGAGGTATAAACGGATGATATGCCATACTTGATCCCTGTATGACTGGATCTCTCATCAGGAAGTTCATCCAAGTGCAGGCAATAAATGTAGACGACTGGTTTGGATGTGAAACAATATTTTTAACAACAGTGAAGCCTGTGCACGAGAGGAGCAAATGAAGACAAAATAAAAATAAAAAAAAAAGAGGAAGAAAAAGTAAATCTGAAGTTGGAAAGCTTTGGAAATTCCTCTTTCAGCTCTGTAGAAATAAGCATCCACTTTTCTTTCACGGGGCACTGGGGAATCTCTACAGTCCTTTGCTGAATTTAGATCAAAACTCTGCACAGGGAAATGTGAAAACGTTCTCCATTAATCTTCAGGAGTGCTGCGAGAGCGATTTTCTTCAGAAGTTGACGCGCATCGGACACCTCTCTGTGTCTCGCTGGCTTGCGGACATTAGTCGAATTAAACCAACTCGGGTGAGTCACTTAATTGACTGCAGCGCATTCTTTCTCTTCTGCTTGCTGTTTACAATATCGGCATTCCTGTTAAAATGCGTTCCTTCTTATTGGCTTCAGTCCTGCAGCGAGGGCGACGTGTTGAAATATTTCGATAGCGCCGAATAATCCCCCTGCCTTTACTTGCTCCGGACATGCACCCTCACACGCACACACACACTTTATTCCTCCTCTCTCTTTCGCGCACACACACATTTCAGAGAAAGACGTGTGCAGAGAAAGGAGTCCGCTGACGGCCAGAGAGAGAGAGAGAGAGGGAGAAAGGGAGAGAGAGAGAGAGAGAGAGGTGGTAAGGTCCCAGCTCCGTGATTTTCCTAGCGCCTCTGTGGCCCATAGGGCTTCATACAGTATGGATGTGCCGCATGTTACGAGTAGCAGCGCTCCGTTTGATTGGCTCTTTGACGCTTTCGGACCAATTGTGTGGCTGCGGGGGCGTGGTTTTAACAGGTCGGGTGGAGGGGACAGACTTCAGACTTATAAAAAGGTGTTTGGAAACTCAAAAGGGCTTTGCCGTGAAACACCACCCTGCCTGAGTCAGTGTTGTGTGAATATGTCAACATCGTTATGGAAGTTGCGCTATCGGTCGGTCTGTGAGCCCCAGCGAAGGGGAGAGAGAGAGCAGACGAGCCAAGCCGGAGAACCGGCTCGCTTTGTCGGCGAGATGTTGTGATCTGTTGCGCTGTTGACTTCCTCCTCCTGTCCCACAGCACATTCGTACTGTCACACTTTTGAATGTCGCGAATACGATTTTATTTCATTTATGATATTTATTTTTATGATTAAAGTGTTTAATTCGCGGTCTGCTGATTTTCTTTTTTCTCCCAGAGATTTAACAGCGCCGAAAATCAGCCGAGAACATTTCCTGTAACATCCTCCTTTGAAATCATAGCTCAGAAAATCTGACCGGATGACGGGATGAGGCGCTCGATGATAAGTTCATGTAATGTTAATAACAATGTTATGACGCCACTGAAACGCCCAACGATTGTTAATTGTGATATTTATAGCCCATTGGTTTATTGAATTTCTTTTGAGAATGCTTACGGATGTAAAGTGTATTTATGAATTTTCTTGCATCCTGTTGTCATCTGGGATATTTAGGCAGATAAACTCTGCTCTCGTAGCTCTTCATCCACTTTTCCTGTCCTGCCTAAATTTGCATTTGAGTCAGTGTGAGTGAAGTCTGTTGTGAATATTGTGTGGGGAAGTGGAACTTGATGAAAGATGAGGAGCTGATGAAGCCTTTTGGACGACTGAGTTGTGAACCCGTCTTCAGCTGTGGTGGAAGATTATTTTTAGTTGGACTTGATCATGCGTTTTATAGGTTAAACTTGAATTAAAAAGCCCGACCATCACACACCATCATCACAAGGGCAGACTCTGTGAGGATGTGTTCACTGTTTTTTTTTTCTATTTATTATTATTTTTTTATTATCAGTTGTTGTATCAAAACGTCTATGTTTTGAATCATACCAGTCACTTCTGTTGTTAAATATAGCACGCTTTCCCGGCACAATAACTGCCTCTGGGAAACAATTCAATTTTAGTCTCGGACTACAGAGTGACAGTTGCACAGGCTGCGCCGAGTACAATAGGTGTTATTGGTAATACAAGGCTAATTTTGTATTTGTATCCGAGCATGCGTTTTCACTTTTATGAAGTGGACTATTGTCATACTCAGTTTTCTTATTCCTGTTCTAACACTGAATCCTCTGCGGGTCTGGGCCACAGGCAGTCGCATCATTATTAAGGTGAAGCGGCGGATATGAATAAAAACGTATAGACTTTACAATTACAGCTAAAACATATTGGAAGTGCAGTGGCTGAATTGGCTATTGGCTGAAATAATATTGCTTCACTGCAAAGGCTCTAAAAAAAAGAAAAAAGAAAAGCCAGACTAGAGCTCTCTCAAATGCTATTTAACCACAAATTCGCAAGTAAACTAGAGAGCCGTGGCCGGCCAGCCACCTTGGATAAACATTGACCATCAATTCTCAGTCAATTGTCTGTCTCCCTCGATCCAGGCGGGGACCAGAGCGGTGGTGGATCTCAAAGTCCATGCAGAGCCCATCCTTACAAAAGAAGCAATAGGCCTAACATGTATTTTTATTTATTTATTTTGCATCACTTGTCCAATATTAATGCATCCGCAAAGTGGTTAAAATGCTAATCTATTCTTTTTGATATCTGTGATATTAAAAGGTGTCAAGTGCTTCTTGCACCATGTTTAGAGGAGTATTGTTTTGAATCCTGGAACTTGAAATAGTCAGTTAATGCCTCAGGGCTCATGTTGGGAGCCTCTGGAAGCATTGTGCTTCAATACTCTTGCATGCAAATAGCCTGTTGGCGAGAAACCACTGCTGATATGTGATGTAGGTTTTGTTGATTGTAGCTCAGCCGTTGTCTATCATGATGTGAGTTACAGTATGTCTGCCACAGTGCCCGCTTCGTCTTGGCTAGATGGGAAGGTGTTGTGTTGGAAAACACCTGTGTGTGTGTGTGTGTGTGTGTGTGTGTGTGTGTGTGTGTGTCTCAGTATGTGTGTGTGTGTGTGTCAATATGTGTGTGCGTGTGTGTAAAGTGGAGTGGTCAGCATGCACATACAGTATATTCCCCAGGGGAAATACACAAAGATATTCAGCTTATGTGTTGCATGTTATTGATTTTGCTAGAGAAAACAAATGTGATAGCTGTTGATAAGCCTCAGCAGCAGCATGTGACTGAATGCCGGTAGCTAAACCTTTTACATGTGTAACCCCCCCCCCTCTCCCCACAAAATGAAGGTGCTTCTTTCCACCCAGCCTATACGCGGGGCCTTCCATCCTTCTCTTTGTGTGACTGAGGTCAGGTCTGTGTCAATTACTGGGGCTTATTCTTCTTTAAACACTCACCCCCATTAGCAGCACATTTCAATTTAGCGGAAGGTGTCATCAAATAGGAAGCAGTGTTGACACGGCAGCAGCCTTTCAGTCTATGTGGCCAAGCTGGCTTCATTAGCTAAGCAAGTAGAGAATGGTCAATACGCTATATAAACTTTTACAGGGTTAGGGCTCTCAGGGACTCCAAGAGGCTATAAAAAGGTCTGAGCTGACACTACTGATTGATGAAGCCAACTTTGTCAGCGCTTCCCTTTTATACATCTACAGAGATCATGCATATCAAAATCAAAAGGGGCAGTATATTTGACTGGACAGGCTCTAAAATTTCTCACTCCACGTGGGTGGGTGACTTCTGACAGTACAGGGGAACAGCTTGCGTTTTAAACCTGTCTGACATGTTCAAACGTCACGCAGTACAGTCCACACAATTTCCAGGAGTTCGACTCGAAGAATGTGCTATAAGATATTAGCATTTAAGCATTTTTTTGAATTTCCTTACTACTATTTACCTCCTTTGCTAACTTTCCAATATTATCAATGAAGGAAAAACTGCATTAAGGTCATGGGTTATGAAGCCTCAACGCCCTGACTACACACAACAGCCATACTGTGTAGGTTCATTAAGCAAAGCTTCAAAGACATTCCTGGAATTGATCACAGAGCTGCAAATGATGTAATGTATGCTGTCCTGTTTATTTGCAGATTGTTAATGATAAGCAAGGACAGACTTGGTGGCACCGCTCCTGAATGGAGGAGATTGTCTGGTGAGAGTCATCAACCCTAACACGACATGATAGGGAAAGGAAACATCACAAGATTAGTATATTCAACTACTATAATGACTCCAAACTTCATTATGGACATCTCGACATAAAGTGGGGGGTGGGGGGTGGGGGGTGGGGGGGATGTCCAATTGACAGGGTAATGACTTTCTAAATGTGAACCATTTACCTCAAGATTTAGGTGGGGCTAGGATTGATCCGCTGAGGCTACATTGCCTCCAAACGGGTGCAGACTGTAGAATGCACTTTTCGGAATCACACGCATGTTTTAGTCAATTGCCTGGAGGAATGATAAACCTCTACCTGTTGATGAATTGTCCACGTCAGGCATTTTTAGTCAACTCAACCCTTGCTCTCATCAGTTCCTGCACCGGCAAGTTATAGGTATTGATGAAAAACAATTTTAGTTAATTAGGGGATGTGCTTATTGATGGCAGCCCATTGACTACAGATTGACAAGGAAAATGGTTAGTGGGCAAAGGAGACGTTTGCTCCCTTGGTTGAGGTTGTTCATCAGCGGTGTGACGCAAGCTCATGACTTTAACTTAGTACCACATAGTTAAAGAGGAGGCAGTTGAAATGTGGAAAAATGGCATTTTTGGCTTTTGATCCATTATCTACATAAGGCGATATTGATGCTAAAAGGCGCAGAGAGAGACCTGACACAGAGTTTGAGGAACAAGCTGATTCATTCATAAAACAATCAGAAATCAAACCTGAACTGTGACTAAATGTAAAATTATTTTTACGCCTCTACAGCCTGAATATGAAGATTACATGCAATTTAGGTATTTTATAAACTCATATTTAGTTCAGAAATCATAAGTTTGTTTTACCTATAAATGAATTTACATCGCATTGTCAGGCCAGATACCCACTAAACACCTGCTTAATTGTTCCTATTCACGT